GAGAGAAAAGTAACTAAGACATGAGGCTATCTGCTAGAAATAAAATATAAGCTACATGTGGAATTTTTAATTTCTTGGTATGATATTTAAAAAAGGGAAAAGATAAAAAGAAGTTCAATAATATGACTCTAAAATATTCAATACATAATTAATATAAATATTATTGACATTCGGTGTTTTACTTTATATTAACTAGATTTTGTACTTTGGAGTATATGTTACCCTCACAGCACATTTTTAATGTTCATTGCCTAAGCAATGACCTTATTGAACACTTGCGTTTCTTCCAAGCTCTTCAGTTGCATGAGAAGCATGTTCTTTGCAATGATAATGAACATGTAATTGTAGTTTGAGATTTTAAATTTATAATAGAATTACTTTTTCCAATTTCTTTTTCTATGGCTTGTGGATAATAATTATAAAAAAACCTTTTCTCTCTCTCTCTTGGTTTCAAATCAATTGAGAACCAGACTCAAGTTTCACATGGGTGTCAGTCAAGTATTAGTTTCAATTTTTAAAAAGTTGAGTTGGATAATATGGCATAGATCTATGTCTGCACTTTTCTCCTAACCCTATTTATGCCTATGTGGTTTTGGTTAGAAGAGACGAAACCTATTTTCATTAAAGAAATAGCTGAGAAAACTCAGTGCTTCTGAGAGGTAGAACCAGGATGAACTTTCTTTCATATTTGACAATCAGAAATTCAACCTAGATTCCTTAATTGGAACGGTAACTTCAAAAACAATTTTCTATAATGTGTCATCCTAGTGAATGCAGTAGACAAGTGTATAAAGCCTAGCCTCAATTTCTCCAAGGAGTTAAGTTGTAATTATCTTAAGGTAAACTGTGTAGCAATGTACTAGAATAAGGAAGACAAAAACATTTAGCAAATTTATTTGTACAGCTAAAGAAAGATCTATGGTGGAAGTGCAGAAGTAAAATGTTTCTAACTGAAATTATGGATGAGTCTCTGAAGACTGACCATATCATGCCAATTGAATAAACCTATAAATAGCCAATCTTTCTTACCCACTATCCAGGTCTCTTTTACCCATAACCCTGGTAAGTCTGTCAGAATCTGATTGATTACATTCTGAAAATAAATGCTGAAGGCCAGATACATGCATCAGCCTGACTTACCAATTGTTGATTACAGCCCAGTGACAAATGACTTACCTTCATGTACAAAAGCATGGGAGTGGCTATATCTAAACTTGTTTATTTATTGATCTAAACTTCACAGTCACTGACCAACTGGAATGACTTACAAGAAGATTGGCTTCTCCCATTTTACCTCCTTATGTGTTTTTCTGGGCATTGAAAACAGCCTTCTAAATGTTTGTCCTTGTATAATTTTTCCTGAAGATCATCACAAATAATTTTTATATTTCATCATTAATACATCTGAAGTAGAAGAGAATAATATATTGTTTTACTAATTCTGCTTCCCATTTAGTTTCTAAACTTTCCTCTTTAAAAGTTTTTAAAAATGTTTTTGTCAAGAAATGTAATAAATAAGATCTGGCCTTAAGTCAAATGCAATAAAACAAATATAATGTATAAAATCTGGCCTTAAGTCAAATGTGAATTGTTTGTTTTCAAGGCTTAGAAACAGTTTGGGAATTGGAAAATTACAGTTTCTCATCCTGAGAACCCATTATTAGGAGTCTTCTAAGCTGAAGTACTGTGCTTTGAGAGGGGAAGGTGGTCCCAGGGCTAGGGATGAAGGCTGGAAACACGCTTCTGATGCCCACTTCAGTCAGAGCTTTATCTTGTGAAAACCAGATACTTCTTCCCTTACTTGATGTTATCATGTTTTGTTTTGTTTTGTTTTGCTTTGTTTTGGTACCAGGGATTGCAGCTCCAGCATGAACTCTCACATTGGCCAAGCAGATGCTTATGCCACTAAGCTAAACTCCCAGCCTTAATTGATATTATTGTATAGTAACTTCCCTTAATGCATTTTCCACCTACCTTGAATACTACACGTTGGTTCACAAACACTTGTCAAAACTTGAACAAAAATATAAGTTGAGATACTTAAGCTAGTGTGAAATAAAGGGCATGGAACTCTCTGAAACACAAAACACAAGATCTTCAAGAAGAAGGAACAGATTTCCAGTCACACACGCAGGATTTGTCCTCTCTGCCACTTAATCAGGGTTTGCCTGAATAAGGATTAAATTGGTCTTGTTTTGAAAGAGATCGGGGGTAATGTGATGTTAATACAATATTTGGACAGTGTTCCTATGGACACTAATTTAACAGGCGTGTTTTGCATTCCTATTGTGTGACATGACTTTCTAGGGGCAGTGTTACTATGAATATAAAATATTTAATCTAGATTTCAAAGATATCAAATCATATCAACATGGCTTTCATAGATACATGAATAGTCTATTAGATTTACCTAAAGAAGGAAGAGATGCTTTACAAAAACAAAAATTGTAGAAAATTAATAAGTTCCAGAAATTTCTGTTGGCAGTTTTGAGGAAGAAAAAAATTTGTACTACTATTAGTTTGTCACAGATAGGCTACTATCTAGGGTAGATTTCCATAAAGAAAAACACCTATAAGAACTTTCCAGTATTCCCTCATATAATTTGCTTGAACATTTGATTATGGAAAAAAAAATCTATCCCCAAGTATCCTTGGATAATATTGAGAAAAACTAAATATTTTTTAAACTCAGTGCTTTAAAAATTACTTAATGCTTGAAAAACCAATTAAAATATATTCTGACATTTGGCATTATGTAAATAAGAAGATATCCTGAATAGTTACCTGAACAGATAACTGATTTTCAGACAGGATGCACTTTGGGAGGGATTCCAGAGTAGCTGATGTTTAGCTGAGAAGAACAGAAAATACGAACACAGGATCCCAAATAGTTAATTGCCATATCTGACTATGGTAAGCTGATGCTATCACCCTCTCAGGTAGGAAAAGGATGAAAAGGATGGAATTATTAACACGTGTTGGAAGGATATTGTAAGACATAATTTGTCTTGTATTAATTCAGAGTAACATTATAAGTATTAATGGGGAAGATAGAGGATACGTTGCTGCTGGTACTGTGATATGAATACTTAGGATAATTCGTACAGTTCATTTACTATCAGCTAACTAATGTGAAAGATAAGCTAAGTGTTATGGATTAAAAACTGTTGGTCAACTTAACGTCAGCTGGACTACATGAGTATGGGGCTGAGCATAGATGTCCCACCTGAGGAAAGTTGCCAGCATAAATAGAGGTGGTGAAGAAGAAGCCATTGCATTGAGGTATTGAGGCACTGTGGGTTCTCCTATGAGTTGCTGTTGAGCCATGGTTCTCCTGGAAAAGCTTTGGTCCTCACATCAAGCATTGCTTCCTTGGCTCCAGAGGGGAAGATTTGTGCTGCTTGGTCTCCGATGAACTCGTCACACTGGCTTCCTGGCATGTACTCAGCTGTGCTTGTCGGAGGAGGAGCTTGGGGCCTCCATGTCGCTGAGGATGGCTGTGGTGCTTTTCAAGATAGCCCTGATCTTTGTTGTGAGTGTGACTTTGCAGCTCCAGCATATAACACTCAACCTACCAGCACAGCTCCTTCATCCCACTGGCATGGACTTTCTGGCTTCCACTGCTGACCTTTGGGCCTTCCCGGCATGGATCCATAAAAGAGACTGGCGTGAATCCTTCTTGTGGGCTCTGGACCTCCAGTTGGACTTGTGGGAGGAATTGGCATGAGCTCTGGGTTTTCATCTGGACTCCTGTGGGACATTGCTGTGGGATTTAGGCCCTTGACTAAATATTCTATGTCTCTGGTGTTGTGGATAGATTTCCTTTAGTTATTTGTGTTAACTCCTGGTGACCATGATAAAAATAATATTATAAACTCCATGTCCTGATTCTAATTGTTCTCTGCACAGCCCCTAACTACAACACTAAGTATGCTGAGTAATTTTCACTGCTTTATAACTCTTTTCATGTTATCCCTGGCTATATTACAGTGGAATTAAACTCTTCAAACAGAACTCAATGTACCCATATTAGGATATACAGCATCAACCATTTATTTATTTATTTATCTGTATTGGGAATCGAACTCATGAGCTCAGGCTTGTGAGGCAAAGTATCAACCATTTAAAGTGTGTTTTTAGCTCCAGTTGGTTTGAGACACCAGATGTTAAGTTTTTGCATTCATTTGGGGGAAAATTACTACCAAGGCACTAAGCACTAACTCATGAAAGGAAAGATGATTGTATTTTAATTCTTACCAATATAAGATTCCAGAAATATCTGCAATGCTACAGCCTATTTAATATTTCCCCACTTATTCTTTCTTTACACAGAAGTGTACAGATACACAAAATGGAGCCTGACAGCACTTGTAGACAGTTCCCATAAAATATATTATCATCATAAACAACAATATTTCAATCCTGGATTGTCATTTCTGAAAATGTGTAATGCAGTAAAGCAAGATCTTTTACAGTGCTCCCTTAATTTTTCTGAATGGGAAGGAATGAAACCATATGCGGTCTAATATCTATTATTTGTAGTTTAGGGGTATGATTTTAAATCAATGAATATCTAACATTCTTCTTCAGAAAAACTCTGTGTCCAGCTATCTCATCTGAAAACATATTGGAGGGCTACCAAGCTGTACAAGTCAAGATCAGCTAATGAAAATACCATAACCTTTGGAGAGTAGCCATAAGCTTTAAAATCTTCATCCGTAATGTATTTCCCCTCACATTTCATATTCAACCAGTTGGTATTCCATGCATCTCACATTATTGCCTTATTTAATATTCATTTCCCCAATCTTCCATTTCTATTTTTTCATATAATCTTCTAATATAATATAATTGATTTTTTTAATCAGTCACTGTTTTCACTGCGAGAATATAAGCTTTATCAAGATAGTAGTTTTTCTTCTCATTACATGAGTTTTTCAAGGTTCCTAAAATAGTGCTTACTTTAGAGTAATGTTTCACAAATGTTTTTTGATTGGCAGAAATGCAGTTGACATTTGAGCAAAGACATGAATGTGCTAAGACGGTGAATCATGAAGATGCTTGCAGAGAGCGTATTACAGAAGGGAATATCAAAGACAAAGAAATAAGACTGAAGTTACAAGAAGCAAGGCTGATGGTGCTGCTACAAGGACGGAGTGATGGGATGTGCAGGAAATAAAGATGCATAGCTGGAAAGTGACAGAGTCTGTGTCCTTAATTTTAAACTAAGAACAACATTCAGCTGTATCACTTACCAGTTTTGGAACACAGGAATAACTACCTCACAGAAATACTGTGGGAATTAGCAGAAGCATTGTAAAATATCTTCTAAATGGACAGATACATTTTGGACACTGGTTCACTCATGTTCATTTCCTTATTTATTGAATATATTGATAGTTGCTTGAGTCAGAAAGGAACTCTAAAATGTGCTGTAGAAGTAAATCTATCCTTCATCCCCAAATCTAAACCTGAGACCCATTAGCAAACCTAATCTCCCAAGATGATCCCAAATAATCTGAAGAATTATAGGGAAAGAATAAATTATCAAGTAAAATGAAGGCAAAGCCTGCTGGCTTTTGTCCAGTTTTCTAGTCAAGCAATTCCCTAGGGATGGATGACTAATTTTGAATAATGATTTAGCTTATAGTTGGCCTCCAGATAGCTGAGTTTCCCTTGAAGAAAAATCTGTGGTGAACGATAAGGACCCTGGGCAAAAATAATCTTAATTACAAACCTAGGCAGGGGACCTCCACTATTATTTGGAGTGAATGTTGAGGGAGACCAATGCCCACCGTACTTCTTATGCCTTTCTTCAAATCACAGAAAAGAAATCAGAAGCATTTAATTACAGCACTGGAGATTAAATTTATTGGATATAATTGAACTCAAACACATAGGATTATAGTCCTTTAATACGGGATTTTGAACTTTGAATATCTCAGCATATTTCCCTATTATTATTATAATCTAGGAGTATGGTCAATAAGAAAGTTCTTCAAAGTCTTATGACTAGGGAGAAATTCAGTATTTTCATACCTCAGGAATTCAGCACTGTCTTCCATATCTATGTGTCTGTCTTGTTACTGAATTAGAAAGCCTATCAATTTAATAATTTTCCTCTCCTTTATTACCCACTAAATGCATCCATATCACCCATAAGAGTTCTAGATGTCTAGATTTGGGGAATTTAGTATTTGATTCCTCAGAAGAAAACAATTCTTTAGGTTAAGGTAAAAACTTTGAAGAGGGATTTGCTTAGGCTGTAAGAATAGGGGCCCACATCCTACAGGCAGAGCCTAGAGCTCAAAATATTCTTGGAAACCCATAAAAATGGTTTAATTTCTTTTGAAACCAAGAAACTGAAATTCCAAGTTAAAGGAGATGTTCTAACACATAAGATTAACATATTCTTCATGCCAGTATGGCTGCAAACATGTTTTTCTATCTTTTTAATTTAGGGTTCATCCATGAGAGGCGAACTTGGCCAAGGACCTTGAAGTCTCCCTGAGATTTTGCACTCAGCATATTCTGTTTGTAAATAGAATCATTGTGAAGAACCTGGGGCTGCTTTCCTTGACTATTCACAATGTAACTCTCTTCCATTAAAGCCCACTACAAAAGCAGTCAGTCTGACTGTTAACAACCAGTTAACAGTCCAGACTGACAGAACAAAACAAGAAGCCAGAAACCACACACCCTCTCTGAGGTTCCTGTCCCCTTGTAGCCAGTGAAGAGCCGCAGCTCTGTCTCATCCTTCTGTTCCTCAATTGACCTCACTTTAGTTTGTTAACTTTGCCTCACCCTAAATTTGCATGCTCAAAATAGAAATTGGATCTTTAGACTGAAGAGCAAAGTCTAATCCTCAGAAAGTCCTTTTCTGGAGAAACTGACAAACAATATCAGCTTTGGAGAGCTACTCATGTGCCATAATCTCCAAAACTCAAAGACTTTTATTCATGCTTCACAAAGGAAGAGTTTAGGATGTGACTGAAGTAGCTGTTTAAAAAATATTCCATAGTTTTACGCCTTGCTCTGCGAAAGGGAAAAAAGGATGCCTATATAGTATTAACAATGATTCTTTTTTTTGCAATGGACAGAAGGAACCAGATTGAGCAAGGTTATTTCTAAGAATTGTGCCTTTTCTGTATTTCATTCTTTCACTGTTGATTCAGTCAAACAGGTATTCCATAAACAAAAGTATCAGACATATTTCATACCAAGTATGGTTCATATTCCTTGTATTCTTTATTTCATACCAGCTCGGTCTTATACCTAAAGCATGCATTTCCTTTGAATGATTCATATTTTATATCAAACCTTACATTAAGCTCCAAGGTAATGTTGCTCAACAGACAAAATATTTCATTTACTTCAATATAAGGAATACAGAACTGTCTTCTTTGGATTTCATAAATATTGTAAATCAGACCCATTGATTTCAATACATCACTCTTTCCCACTTTTCAGCAATGTGGTTAGGAAACTTGTGACAGTCGACAGTGAGGGATCAACATAGGGCCACAGTCTCAGAACCTGTAAATGGAGACTCAAAGAAGAAATTTAAAAATACTGTGAAAACTCAAACAAATATAAAGTAATGTATGTTACACATTTTCTAACTCCTTGGGGATCTATGCATTTTTAAGGCAAGGATGGGGGAGGGGGGTGAGGAGTTAATGAACACTATTTTGTCTTGTGTTACCCAGGATTGAGGTAAAACAAAAGAAATATAGCAAGAAAAAGACAAGGAAAATCGTAATTCAAAAGTTTTGTTTTAAGGAAATAGCCTCAGTACACAAACATAGTAAAGATCCATAGTAAGATCCTTAAATACAGTAAGTTTTAGCCCTTCATTTACATGCAATGGATCTTTCTCCTCTGAATACACAGTCACTTTTGTCCTGTAAAAGCGGCTATTTGCCTTTGCATAAACAAGACCGAGCTAGGGACCTCCTGTAGATTCATGGATTTCCAAAGCCAAAAACATGGATTTCCCAGCTCCAAGTTATAACACTTCTCTCTCTCTTCCTCCCACTTTGGCCTGTACTCTATTTCTTTGACTGTGTATTTCTAAACTTTTGCTTAATAAAATTCTCTCTGCCTGTTAGTGATGTATCCTGAAAACTCCTTTGCTGTGATGCAAGTCAATGAACCTGACCCAAGATCAAAATAATCCAGTTACTCCAATTCAGTTCTGGAGACTTCCTTGGGCCCTGTCAAATTATTATAGAAAGCTGAGCTCGAGAGAAATTAATCTGGAGTTAAGTAGTGGGACTTTGAGAAAGTCCATTCAGAAAATAAGACACAAAGACTGTGACTGCATGAGAATCTCAAGATCAGCAAATCTCAATAACCCATTTTCTAAAAATGTCTTTGCTTTTTCCATATACACTTGTTCCATGACTCATGTTCTTACTGGATCAATAATAGCTATGTCAGTACACTTGTCATATATATATATATATATATATATATATATATATAGGTTAATTGTGGTTTGGCCCATGTCCTGTCCACCTGATGATTTTGCTGTCTTACCCCTGACAAGGACCCTCAGTGGCCGCATACTTAGGAACCCTCCTGGAGGTTCAGGAGCAAATGTCCCTTCATTTCCAATTCAACTTTCCTAACTTCCTCTTTTGGTTGGCGATTTTATCCGCTGTTGTGAGAGCATTAACTCAGCACATCCAGCTGACTGGGAGTATATTTTTCCCTATCAAGGTAACATTGTTGTTATATCAGGGAAGGCCAGAAGTTTTGCTTTTCCAGTGGAATCCTCTATCGCCAAGAAATGTAACTCAGTTTCAATAAATTAATTAAGGAGAACAAGAGTTAAGATAGGGAAGACAGTTTATTTGTAGAAAAAGATAGAAAAGAAACAAGATTGACAGCTACTTGAAGTTGATAAGGGGGTATTAGAGCTGAAAGTTCCTCAGCTTTATCCAAAGGTCCTAAAATTTAGATGGTCTACCATTTTCCCTTGGCCCAGGTGGGAGCTGTGGATATCTGGTTATCTGATTTGTTCTCTCAGCTGTCTTTGAGTTTATTCTAGGCATTCTTTTTGGCCTATCCTATCTTTTGCTTACCTGTGAGCCCCTTTCCTTACATTATGAGACTTGTATATTTTCCAGGAAAAGGATTAACAGAGTTTGGAAACTGTCTGGAGTTATCTACAAGCTCACTCTGAAGTTCATACACTATATTTATCCACAGTTAATTCATTACAATAAGTCTCCTGCTTGACAGATTTCAGGAGCTGGAGATAATATTAAGTGTGTATATGTGCGTGTGTGTGTGCGTGTGTGTGTGTGTTCCTGGGGGTAGAATAAGGACCTTCATTGTGAGCTACATACTGAACCATTTTTGAAAAATTTTCCTAGGTTCTGGAACAGGATGTGACCAAGTTGTTAAATTGCCCAGATTAGACTCAAATTTGCCATCCCATGCCTCAGACTCCCAGACAGGTGGGATTACAGGTGTGTACCACCGTGCTCAATAAGAATAATACTTTTGTCTAGACAAGCATCCCCTGACCCCAAAAAAGCCTTCCAACTATACTCAAAGCATAACACCTTGGCCATGGCTTGGGCCATTGAAGAAGGCTGTTTACTATTTTTTTCTCAATTTTGGTTCTTTTTTTTAATAAATTTTTTTTACTAAAAATCACACTTTACAGAATGACAGCCATCTGAAATGTGGCAAAGCAAAATTAGCCTGCTAAATTGTGTCCTGGGGTGTCTGTAGGTAGAGCCTATTGACTTTTGTGGAAGGGCAAAGTTTGACACAGAGAAATAGGAAAGCTTGCCCTTGAGGCTCTATTCCAGGAATAGAGCAAAGTTTAGAATGGCTGAGAAATTTTAAAGATATACTGCAGTAGAAGCAGTGGTCCAGGGAATAACACTTTTAGAAACTAGCTTGAAAAGTTGGCCTAAGGAGCTATGTGTGAATTGTGAATGTTTGGAGCAAATGATTTATGCACAGAGGAAAAATGTCTGGGGAAAAGTAGTGACTGGACAGGTCAAGATTCATAAAAATATACACCAAGACCGTTTCGGTGGTTTGGAGATTATTTTCTATTTTTTAAAATTTAGATGAACACTTGGGAGGCTGAGTCAGGAGGATTATCAGGACTCAATGTCAGTCTGGGTTTCACAGTGAGTTGAAAATCAGCCTGGACTACATAGAAAGACTGT